AAACTCAGAAATGACAAGTTTTGAAGTGTTTTTGGTGATTCTGTATTCTTGGTGTTTTTAGGGCTTTAGCATGCGTGGGATTTATGGAAAATGACTTGTGTATGTATAAGCAAAGAGGTTTGAGTGCTTTGGAAAGTCAAAAGTACAAGTTACAAGCTAATTGCTAGGTTACTTGATTTTGAAGAAAAGTGAGAAAACAAGTTTCAAGAGGAGGTACAAGCATGGGCTGAGTGATTGTAAGTGTCTAAAAAGTTTCTCTTGAGTTATGGAACTTGTATGATCAGAAGAAAGCAATTGCAAGGCTCAAGAACAAGTTTTATGCAAAAAGTCACTTTATCAAAACGGTAATGTGCACTTTCTTCCCAAAATGGATATAAAGCATGGCCTTGCATTGAATGCATTTCTCAAAAGTCACTTATGTTGTGTAAGAAATTAATTATGGAGTTACTAACAAGTTTGAGGCCTGCAAAGTAGAGGTTATGCAACATAAGTTTGAATTTTGAATTTGTTCATCACAAAATGACTTGTAATTCAAGTGATAAAACTCTAACTTCATCTCTTCGATTCTCCCTACTCAAAAATGATCTCAAGGAGTTCTTGGACATTTTGGAAAGCTTGTAATATTCTCTACAACCCATATTTGAATCAATTTTGAATATTCCCCTTGGAACTATATGAAAAAGTGCCATGAAGTTAGGTCAAAAACCTGGCCAAATTAGGGCAAAATTTCACTAAGTGTTTTGTTTCATGACCATGTGTTCTTAAAATTATAACTTGAGATACAAGCACTTTTGAAATGATTTGTGTAAAGAAAAGTTGTATATTTCATGGAGATCTACAACTTTCATGTTGGAAGTTTCTTTTTAATCCTCTTGCATCATGGTGAAAATTTTGCTTAAAGTTGTGAAAAAATAAGAAATTTCCAACACTTAGAAAAATTTCTAAGTTTAGAAATTTTAACTTTTCAAAATGAAATCTTGAATTTTTGATTTCTTGGTGAATAAGTTTCATATTTTTACATGCTTTGATGAATTGTGATCTTTGACATTTGATTTTGACCAAAAAGTCAAAGTTTGACTTTTCAGTATATAGTTGACTTTTGATCCGTTGACTGAAAATTCATATGTCAATCTATTGGACTTGAGCAATGCTTTGAGCTATGTCATTAGGTAAAAATGATGCAATTGTACTCTTGAGATCATGACTTAAAACAATTGATCATTTTCTAGGTCAAAAATTAGAAATTGCCCTTTCCCAATCAAAATCATAATTTTGACCATTTTGCTCTTTTAAAGATTTGATCAAATTTCTTGAGGAATTATGGTCCAAACTTGATCAAATGATACATATGAGTTTAAAATTTTGATGTGGATAAAAAATTATGAAGTTTGACTGTAAATTGGCCATAGTTGACTTTCCCCCCAATATAGCTGATTTTTAGGTCGACTGCTCAATTGACTGAGCAAAAGTGTGATCCAAAGCTTGAAACTTGACATGAGTAATCTTGAGGGTCCATAATGATCTATGAAAGTAATATGGGGCATTGGAAATTCAAATATCCTTGTGCAATCTCAAACCCTAATTTTGGTCATCAGTGCTTAAGGAGGTGTCTTGAGCTGATCAATCCTAGTGCAGTCTTGAGCCAAAAGAGATCTTGTGAGCAAAATTCTTGATAAGTGAGAGAGAAAATTTTGGGGTACAACAAAATACACGCAAAGAAAATACGAGTAAAAGAAGGAATATTTTACAAAGTTTTGCTCGATCAGGCTCTATGACCAAGTGCCTACGTATCCCTTTCAAGGAATCAGAGCATCATAGTTCGACTCAATAGTTTTTGTTTGTTTTATGTTTTTTAATTGAACAATATTAAGTTTCGCATTCTACCTACAACTCGACCTTTGGAGACTCAAGCATCTGGAGTAGAAAGGAACTAACATGCTCTACCTAAGGTAATTGCAAAAGAACAATGCCCGAAGGCGGATAATGCTACATTCACAACTCCAACAAGTAGACATAGTACAACCCGACCTTTGGGGAATTACGCGTTGTATTGTATGAAGAAGAATTAATACATCCTCTTGAAATTTTGATGAAAATCCCGAAGGCGGAAAAAGAGTTTGAATTGGTTGGTATTTTTTACCTTGAAAAAGGATTTGCAATTTGAACCGTAATAAAGCTCGAACATGGAATAAAGGAAGTGTTAGTCTAAACCAATTTGCTTTACCCCATAGGAATCAACTACATACGATTCTCATTTTCCATTATTAAGTGTTTTATGAGTTTCAAAAGAAAAGGTTTTAGTTTTAGTGTAAACATACAAAAGGGGAGAAAAATCTAAGGGATGATATCTAGTTCTATCTCTAATATTATCATGCAATGATGGTCCTAGAGTTGGGATTAACAAAAGGGAAACATCTACCTAATGTTAGAATACATAGATAACTATCCTAGTGTATACTTAGTTTGATATTAACCAAGAAAAAACTAAGAATCATATAGGAACATGTGATCAAACAATGTAGCAATAAAAAACTTAACCAAGCCAAGAATGCAAGCACACAACAAACGCTTGAGGAGTATCCACTCACTCAAGTAGCACACACCTAACCATGGCACTGTGTTATCAAGGTAGGATAAAGGAGAGGGAATAACACCTATACATGATATCAAATCACCGAGGCATGATAGGGGAATGGGACACCTAACCAGGATATCGCATCATCAAGGTAGGATGGGGGAAGTTCCTGATCATAGATATCTTATCATCTAGGCAAGAAGGGGTCTTGAAAGCAAATCTTAACCAAAGGTATCGTATTACCGAGGCAAGAAATAAAGAATGGGAGGAATTGACTCTTAACCAAGATATTAAATAATCGAGGCAAGAGAAGAATAAAAATTGAATTATCATAAGCGACTAAACACCTAACTGAGATATCAAGGATCGAGGTAGGAGATAAAAGACTGTAATGAGATCACTAAGAAGCATCAAGCGTTAAATAACGCGAGCTTAAGACAAAATGTGGGGGATTGGTTACAGATCCATATATTCCACTTGACCTACTTGATACAAGAGCAGCACACTTCGATAACATCAACGTACAATGTGAGCTACAAATGACATGGGGACTAGAAATTGTGGGGGTCGATTGTGGACCCTTTTCCACTTGCCTTCTTTGAGGACTTATCAATAGGGAATCGGAATGGGGTACCTTCATCGAGGTCTTTATCACAAATGTAAACATACCGCAATGTAAACAAAGACAAGTATGAATTTCCTTCTACAGGTCTTTTAAACAGTGACTTCTAGAACATGCATCTCTAGTCCTACTTCTCATGGAAAGGAAAGCGGTAAAGCATGCATCTTTATTTCTACTTCTCATGGCATCAGAAAAGTGGTAAATGTGAAAAGGAAATAGACAAGAAGTATACCAAATGGATAACAATATGTATATACTAAGCAGAAGCAAAAGAAACCCGGAATACTTCGCGAGCAACTGACATCAATCAACAAAATCAAATTCGTGATCCAACGTGCGAAATATGCATCAAAGCGTCAGTGTGAAAATAAATCACAAAGCGAAATGTGTATCAAACACATCTGAATATCAATCAGTACACCTGCATAAGATATCGATCCAAACAAGCAATAACAAAGTGATACGAGTGTGTATCAAACACATCTGAATACTAAACAGTATACCTGCACAAGATATCAATCCAAACAAGTGATAACAAAATGTACATAATATGTATCGAACACATCTGAATACTAAACAGTACACCTGCACAAGATATCAATCTTGACAAGCAATAACAAAATGATACGAATATGTATCGAACACATCCAAATACTAAACAGTATACCTGTATAAGATATCGATCCAGACAGGTGATAACAAAAATATGAAATGTGTATCGAACACATCCAAATACTAAATAGTACACCTGCACAAGATGACAATCCATACAAGTGATAAAAAATGTATCATCTCATGGAATGATAATAATAGCCAAGCCTATCAGATGCAAGATAAAACCATTTTTTCAACCAAAAGTCAGAATCAATGCAAGTAAATGAGAGGCGAAATGAGGATTTTTTACGTTAAATTGTAACTTTCTATGTTCTCTTTGATATGATAAAACACTTGAAACTTGGTTTGGAGACGAAAAAATGATTGATAATGATTGAGGTTTTGAGATAGGTTTTAGTTATGGGGGAAATGAAATGAATGAAATAGTGATAGTGGTGATCATGAAACAAATTTATGTAACAATGTATTTTCGGATATACATATCCAAACATATCACTGAATGTTTAAATCAATGTTTAAATAATTATAACGTGTAATCAAGGAATTTTCAGATACGCATATCCAAAAAAAATTAAAATAGATTTAAGAGTTTGTTCAGATATATCTGAAAGATATTTTAAGATTTTCAGAGATTTTTTTCACCCATGTAAAATTGTACTAAGAATATATATATTTTTTAAGATGGGAATTCTAATCTCAAGCTCAGTCCACTAGTTTTGGAGAGGCCCATCATCATTTAATTGAAGAAAAACAAAAATTAAACACAATTTTATTTAAAAATTTAAGTAAAACCCTAAAACAACTAAACTCAGCAGCTCCGTCAACCGCCGGGAAACGTAGACGGAGTTAGTCGCCGGCCTCCAGTAACTGTAAGAACTAAACTGATTGAAAGGTTTCATTTTGCTTCCTGTATGTTCTTGATGAATATTCATTGTTGTTGTTCTTATTTACTAAGCCATTGTTTGTTTTCTGTAACTCATATGCACAAACTATTATGTTTTACACTCAACCAAAACATAGATTGAAAGAAAACAATATGTTTGAAAATAAGGACATGTTTGGATTAACTTATGTAGAGCTTATTTTATAAGCTGCAAATTATACATTCTTTAGGTTTTATATATATGTTAGATTTCATTATTTTGCTCAAATGTATTTTTTGTTTGTCTTTAATATGATATAGATTAAATGGAGCTGTCTCTGGTTAAAGGCGATACAATTGATGACGGTGAAACTGAATATTTGAGTGATGAAGATGTGAAATTAGCTGAACCATCTAAAATGGCAGTGAATAACAGAGATGCTCTATTGGATAAAGTCGGAGACATAAGCTGGCCTGAGAATGTGGAATGGATACACAAACTCTCCGTTGATATTGATCAAGAGCAGGAAGTAGATGTTAACGATGACTTGGCACGAGAGCTTGCGTTTTACACTCAGGCATTGGAGGGAACTAGACAGGCTTTTGAGAAACTTCAATCAACGGGTCGACCTTTTCTAAGACCGGAAGATTATTATGCGGATATGGTCAAGGCGGATAGTCATATGGAAAAAGTGAAGAGTCGGTTGTTAGCAGAGAAGCAGAAGATGGAAGAGGCTGAAGAGAGAAGAAAGGTGAGGGAGGCGAAGAGGTTATCTAAAGAGATTCAGTCGCAGAAGTTAAAAGAAAGGGCTAAGCAGAAAAAGGAGGACATTGAATCTGTTAAGAAATGGAGGAAGCAGAGGCAACAGAGCGGGTTTGCTGACAATGATGCAGATAAGGCTTTGAACTTTGAGGATGGAAAAGTGTTTGAGAGGTCACAAAAGAAAAGGCCCGGAGTGTCTCCGGGCGACCGATCAGGAGGTAAGGCAAAGCAAGCTTTTGTAAAGGGGAAGAAGCAAAAGAAAGGAGATGTGAAGAATTCCAAATTTGGGTTTGGAGGTAAGAAGGGATTGAAGAAACAGAATACAGCTGACACTACTAATGATTTTGGTGGATTTAGTAAAAAGGGCGCTGTTGCAGGAAATAAGAGAAAGAGATAAAAATACAATCTTCTTTTAAATTGTTTTGCGAAGAAGGATGCAATGGAATGTGCTAACGGGACTGTCCTCTGAATTTTCATCGACTCTAACAGTTCAATTACGTAGATGGACTCGTGGTGATTTTATAACTTAATCAACAGTTATAAATTCCTATTCATCTACTCCAATTTTGATGTTTTGCTAAATGATCTGTTACTTTATGCTGCTCTTACTAACAGGTGTATGATGTAGCTCTTTTGAGTACAGAAGACAGAGTAATGTAGACATATATCTGTAGTATTTTTTTTATTTGGTTTTCAATTGAGCACTGTGTTTTCTTATGCTTGTTCATCTGAATAGATCAATATATAGTTGTGTCCATGTTGTTTTGCTGCAAGACAAAGCAAGAAAGAAACAAATTTTTTAAATTTACTCATCTTTTGGGGGGCAAAAACTCTAGTCCTACCTTTTTATTTACTCGGCAGTGTAAAATAATGCCATGGATAAAACTAGCAGGATTGTGCTGAATATGAAGAAGAATTTATAGTGCAGTAACTGAAGTATTAGAGGTTGGTTACTGCATTAGCTTCCTTTAAGCGTGTATAAATGGATTTAGCTCTTCTAAAAGTGTGGTGTGTAGTTGCCACACAGTATTGATGACTTTTCCATTGGGTACTTGCAACATAGCTTCTTGGCTTAGTAAGGATCCATTAAATTTAGATATGACAAGTAGGGCTCCTTTTAATTTAGAGCAGATATTGAAACCAGTTACACAACAAAATGTGCAACTCAATTTAATCAGAAAGCTTTAAAATATTATCAGAGATATACAAACAAGACATTTACTTCTTCCGTTCACTTCTCCTATCTACTCTCCTATCTAGCCAGTAAATAGAATATGTCACCACTTTTCTTAAATTGTTTTTCTTTGTCAAATTTTTTACGGTCACAAATGAAATTGTAATAATATCACATTATATACACACTTATGAGATGTCAGGTGAGAACCTATTTTCCTCTCTTTTTTTTTTCTCTCTTTATATTTTAATCACATTACATTCACACTCATGAGGTCTCATGTGACAACACATTCCCTCTTTTTTGTCTATTTCCAAATTTTAAAATTCAAATTATAATTATAATTAGACAAAATATTCATTTTGGTCCCTTAACTATATGTCATGATTCACTTTGATTCCTTATCTTTTTTTCGTGTCAAATTGGTCCTTTAATTTTCTAAAAGATTCAAACAAATTCATTCCGTCAATTGGCCTCCAATGTCTGTTTATTTGCGTGACGTGGCAGGTGAGCTGACAGATTTCTTCATCTTCTTTATATGCAGTATGTGTTCTTCACCTTGCTGCAAAATCTCCTTCCCAAAATTTTCTTTATGTTCTTCATTTTTGTACTCATCATCTTCTTACATACCCATCATCTTCATCTTTATGTTCTCCTTCCCAAAATTTTCTTTACGTTCTTCATCTTTGGCCATTTCTCCATGAATACGAAGCATTCATCTTCCCCAACGAACCTGAAGAAATCAGTAGTGTAAATGTTCAGTTCACATCTTGAGAGTTGTGTTTGGGCAAGATCAATAAAATTATACAGGAGTACAACTATAGTCAAGAGTTTAGCCATGGGGATCTGATTTTGGATGGACGGTTAAAGGTGAAGGAATCGTGTGTGTGCTTCTACAGAGACCAACGAACAACACCTGCAAATTGATTGCTTGTTGAAAAATCTTTGTAGCTCAAATCCTTGTGTTACAATGGATGGAATAAAATAATGCAAGTAGCTCTTCCAGTTATTAATAACAAAACTAGAATTTCTTTTTTAATCTATTCTTCCATCAGAAGTCTTTGTCTGCTCTTTCAATAAATATTTATTTTTTTCTCCATCTTCTTCTAGGAAGAATTTCCATTTTAAGACAAGATTTAGCACTTCAAATTACGCACTAATGCACTAGCGGGAACAATAAGCCAACTTCAAATTCAAGTTGCCGAATTGATTTTCTGTCTCAAAAAAACAAGGGAAACAAAGAAATTTATGTATTTGTCGCTAGCATTTTTGTGTAGGATATGGTGAGTTGTTTTTCTTCTAAAGGTCACCATGACTTGGTATTTGCATAGGATACAATTCACTTCACTTCGCTTACCATGTTAACACATATACAATGTAATTAAAATGTAAATCAAATCTCCAAAAATATAACAATCATTAAAATGCTACTCTGCAAACAAACAGTAAGCAATTCAGGAAAAAAACAATATTTTATTTCAAATTTGAGTTCAAACACAGAGATCCCTCAAAAAAATTAAGAAACTGTTGAGAAAAACAGACAAGTAAAAACATGTGCGTGCAGTAAAATTAGGGGAATAAGCAGTCATGAATTTTGGGGGAAAAGGAAGAAAGAATAAAGGTGGAAAGATGAGGAGAATACCGATATAGCAGAAACAACTATTATGTTCTTTGTCACGTTGCCTCCAACAAGCCACTTCAACATGACAAATGTCATTTGAAATCTGTTTTTTTTTTGTATTTAACTAACGTTTCACTAACGAAATGACTAACGTGGTTACGTTTTAAAACTTAAGGGATCAATTTGACACAAAAAAAAAAGATAAGGGAGCAAAGTGAATCATGACCTATAGTTAAGAGACTAAAATGAGTATTTTACCTTATAACTATTATTTTTCATTTTTCTAATTCATATTCTATCTCATTTTTCTCTCGACATTTATTTTTCATTTCACTTCTATTTATCTTTCTCTCTCTTACTTTTCTCTCAAGTGTTTTCACTCTCTATTTTCTCTTTCCCTTTTAATTTTTCTAAACATAAATAAATAAATAAATAAAATCTTTTTTAATGGAACAAAGAGAAACATGTAATAATTTACACAATCGAAAATATAATTATTTTATGATTATTAAAAAATTATTTATAATCATTAAAAAATTATTTTCAAATGTCAAAATTTCCACTTTTCTCACGGATCACTATTAGCAAAATATTTATTTTATTTTAATTAAGAATTGTCTTTATTTGAGACATAAAATTCTTATTTTTAAATGTCAAAATTTCTATTTTTCTCACTAGCTACTATGAACAAAATAAACATTTTATTTTAATTACCAACTATCTTTATTTGAGACACAAAATTCTTATTTTCAAATATCAAAATTTCTATTTTTCTCACGGGTTACTATTAGTAAAATACTTATTTTATTTTAATTAACAATTATCTTTATTTGAGACACAAATTTCTTATTTTCAAATGTCAAAAATTTTCTATTTTTCTCACTAGTCACTATTAGTAAAATACTCATTTTATTTTAATTAACAATCATCTTTAATTGAAACACGAAATTCTTATTTTCAAATGTCTAATTTTCTATTTTTTCACGAGTCACTATCAATAAAATACACATTTTATTTTAACTAACATTATATTTATTTGAGACACAAAGTTCTTATTTTCAAATGTCAAAATTTCTATTTTTCTCACGAGTCACTATCAGGAAAATACACATTTTATTTTAACTAACATTGTATTTATTTGAAACACAAAATTCTTATTTTCAAATATCAAAATTTTGATTTTTCTCACAGAGCACTATCAACAAAATACCTATTTTATTTTAACTAACATTATATTTATTTGAATCACGAAATTCTTATTTTTAAATATCAAAATTTCTATTTTTCTCATGGGACACTATCAACAATATTTTATTTTAATTAACAATTGTCTTTATTTGAGACACAAAATTCTTATTTTCAACAAAATCCGAGTAGAACGATTATGGTCATGCAACGCAACACACCCATGTGTCTCTAATGTTATTTCATTATCATTTCTTGTCATGTTTCTAAATTCAATTTGTGTTTGAATGTGCATTTTATAGTTACTATGTATTGTGTTGTACCCCAAAATTTGCCCTCACATTTTTCTACAAACAATCTCAGCTTCAGACATTTCCTGACTTTTCAAACTGGCGCAAGAATCGGACAAACGGACTTTTCTTGACAGTCAAGCAAAATTAGGGTTTTTACTGATTTTCAGAGCTCTGATTTGTCTCATACAGTTGGCTTAGGGTTGGGATGATTTTTGGTTCAATTTTGATCAGGCGAGCGTTATCTAGCATTTAATCAGAAATTAAGGCTTTATGGGCATATTCTCAGAAGAATTTAAATTCTACCGCACTTTGCAGTTTATTCCGAGATTCGGGTTAAAATTCGCGTTATCTTGATTTAATCAGTAAATGAGGCAGTTGGTTTGAATTCACTAGTCAAAAGGGATGTGTGCAATGTGGAATTACAGTGCTTGACAAAAGGATCAGTGAAAAAAGAATTGCATCTGATTAAATTTTTGTGTTCGACTGTGCGTTGCTTTGGATAATGGATACGTCGAATTCATTTATTTTTGATCATCAAAGGTTTAGTTGATTATTTATGGTTCTAAGAATTAAAATATTTGAAATTTAAACTTTCATTTTATTTTATTTAAGGAACTATAAATAACAAATAAACAATTAAAGAAAAGGAATTGAAAGAGAATTAAATATCAATGGAATTTTTATTTTCACATTTAATAATTGTTACAATTGTTATTATTTGGATACTAATATTTATTACAAAGTATTTAAAATAATAATAATGTACAAGAATTAAACTGAGAAATAAAAATTCTATCCTATTTCTAATTCTTCATTCTTCACTCCGTTTCGGTGCTCCATTTTTATCTGCAAAAAAAAAAAAAAAAAAAAAGTCAGAAAGCAGTTAATTAAAGACAGTTGAAATTTGCTCATCATTAGAGGCCACTGACTGGGATCAGTTGACCCTCTCTGCAAATCACGGGATTTCTCCCGGTTCACAGAGAGGGAAGGTTTTTTGTTCATGAAATGCAAATGTCAAAAGTATGAGTTCCAAAATTCAAGACTGCATAGAATCTCAACTTCAAAATTCAAACTAAACTGAAAAAATCCAATTTCAACTTTCTATCCAAAGCAAAAGGGAAGTT